ACTACTACTACTACTACAGCTACAGCTACGACTACTACTACTATTACTACTACTACTACTACTACTACTACTACTACTACTACTACTACTACTACTACTACTACTACTACTACTACTACTACTACTACTACTACTCCTTACTACTATTACTACTAAGAGGAGGTGGAGGAAGAAGAGGAGGAGGAGGCACGAGATTCTATCCCCCCCGAGAGCTTAAGGGCGGGTCCTGAACATTAACGAGTCTTCGCGGTTACTCCTCACGCCTCCTCCTCCCGCTCACGCCCTGCTCGTGTAGCGACGGCGCAGGCACCCCGACGCGCCGCTCGCCGTCCACGCTTTCCCATCCCCGCCCACTTGACAAACTCTGTGGCGTCGATCTCCCCAGAGCCGTCCTCGGAGCGCATGTTTTATCCGCGGAAAGAACGTAAGACGAAGCCAGGACGAGGATATATTCGGGCGAAAATAGATCGGGAATCCCTGAGATCCAGCGGCACTGGAGGATGTCTCGGGCGCCGCGGCCTTCCCAGAGCATCCGGAACGCTCCGAGAGCGTTCTGGAACGCTCTGGAACCGATTTATCCTCGTCCAGACCTCGTCGGATAACGGGCGATATGGGGGGGTGGAGGGAGGGGTGGGGGGGTGTGGGGGGGGCATAACATGGCGCCCACCCCCCATCGACCGTGGTGCCCGACGCGCTGCGGCAGTGCCGGGGGGCGCACTGAGCGGGGGAGCGTTGCGTGATGAGGGGGGAAAAAAATATTTTTGGGGTATTGTGGGAGGGAGAAAAAAACATATTTTTTGAGTATTATTGGAGTGGGAACAAATATATTTTCTGGGTATTGTTGGAGGGGGAAAAAATATATTTGTTTGGGGGGAGAGGAGGGCGGAGGGTAGGGGGGCGTAACGCGCGCTGTGGCCCAGAGGGTAAGAGAAACACTCACAAGGGCGGGCGAGCCCGCGTCCGGGAGGGGGGCGGAAGCCGGCGCCCTCTTGCGCGAGAGCTTGCCCCGCAGAGGAGAAGGGGCCGCCCCCCGAAGAGCTACACGCGGGGACGACGAAGACGACGACGACGACGGCGGCGACGTCGACGACGAGGACGACGACAGTCTTGAGGAGCGCACCCTGGAACATAGAGTGCATGCCCGCGGGTCGGGAGAAGTGGGTAGAAACATGAAGTAGCAGGGTGCTGAAAACAGATTGGGTTTTCGCACGCCCCCGACGGGGAGGGAGGAGGGAGCGCCACTCGATTCTTGAAGTAGGGAGGCGCCTAAAATAGATATGGGACTTGGGCATGCCAAAGATACCTACTTTCAACGACCGACGGGTACGCATCACATCGCGGGGCCGGTGCCGGCTGTCTTCGTGGTGGCGGTGGCGGCGCGGTTGCCCGTCCGCAGGGATCCGCGAGAAGCCGGGCGGGCCGGAGCAGGAAGGGGAGGCGAGAGCCCTCCTCCGTCCATCCCCCCCCCTCCTGGGAATGGACGAGGGGGGTCCTGAAGGAACCAGCCCCGAACTCGTGCTCCAGGCAGGGAAGGGAAGAGAGGAGGCGACCCGTGGAGTGCCATCAGGGTGCGGCAGGCTCGTGCTGCGTCGACCCCGGCGCTGGCTCGTGACACTGCGCTGGATCGTTCAGCCTTGGACGATCGCCCGCTGCCCAAACGCCCGATCGTTCCACATCGACCGATGCCGGGCCGCCGCCGGCGCTCAGTGTTGAACGCCGGCGCTGGGGCCGCCGCCAGCTCGCCATCGCTCGGACGTCCATTCCCTGTGCTTTTTTCGGTTTCGCGCGTGGTTCTTTCGCCAAATGATCAAGGATGCTCCTCGATGGTCCTCGCCGAAAGAAAAATGCACACGTCCGAGCGATGCCAAGCCAGTCGACGCGACGCGAAGCCACACCGCGCACTGCTCGAAGGAGCGCAAAATAGAAGGAGCGCGTAGGCGTCTCTGGCTGCGCCGGGGCGCCGCCGGCGCGCTGTGTTGAACGCCGGCGCCGGGGCCGCCGCCAGTCGACGCTGCGCGAAGCCACACCGCACTGCCCGAAGGAGCGCAAAACAGAAGGAGCGCCGGGGGGGCGTCTCTGGCCGGCGGCGGGCCTCGGCCACGGAACGGATGTTGGGGCTCTCGGCGGCGTCCCGGGGAGCCGGTCCCGGGATCTCTTTTGGGGGCATGCTGCTGGTGCCATCCTGAAGCCAGCCTGCGCTGCCCTGGTGCCATCTTGGAGGTCGTCGTGGGCCATCTGCGGCCCTGCTCGGCCACGAGCGGGTTCCACTAGGAGGAGGAGGAGGAGGAGGAGGAGGAGGAGGAGGAGGAGGAGGAGGAGGAGGAGGAGGGAGAGGCGGCGGCGGAAGAGGAGGAGGAGGAGGAGGAGGAGGAGGAGGAGGAGGAGGAGGATGAGGAGGAGGAAGAGGAGGAGGAAGAGGAGGAGGAGGAAGAGGAGGAGGAGGAGGAGGAGGAGGAGCGGCCTAGAGGCCAAGGCCCCTCCAGGAGCCCCCACGTGGTCCTTCTCTCGTGGCGTCGGGGCTGCACACGGGCCCTGGGCCCCGAGGCTCCTCCCCGAGGGCGGTCGCGCTCCTCCCGGGTCGCTCTCTGGTGCGCCTGGGGCCAGGAGGGGTTGGGCGTGGCTTAGTGGGGGGGTCATAAATGGGGGGGTCAGAAACGGTCCCCTTTCGTGCCCCTTTCGGGCCCCTCTGGAGCCCCAGGGGGCTCGTTTAGGTACCGTTTGGGTACCTTTTCGGACCACCCGCGACACCCCCCCATTTATGACCCCTCCATTACGCAACGCCCAAAGGGGCCTGGGGCCGCGTGAGGCCGGAGGCTGTGGAGACATGGCTTCTCTTGTTGTTTCTGGAAGAGAGAAGATACAGTCAAAAACCCGAACAAGGACGCGCGGTAAGGACGCAAGACCCTTGGAAGCCGAAGTTGGGATTTTGGGGGCGGCGGACGACGAAGACCCCAAGGACGCAAGAGCAAGGAAGAGCAAGGACGCAAGGGTACCCTGAGCAAAGTCGCGCGTCCTCCCTCTGTGGAGGGTTACACAAGGCACCTTTCTTGAAAGAGTGCGGCGAGGATCCCGTCAGTGGCGGATGATAGAGGGATGCCCTGGGTGGCGGAAAAGGATTCTTGTGGCGGAACACGAAGGATGCTCCAGGGTTCAACGAGACGATCTCCCGCTCCCCAAGAAGCTCATAGGGAGGTCAAGGGCCCCCCCTACTTCGCAAAGACCACCCCCCACTCCGCAAGGAATGCAAGAAACTTCGTTGCGGCGTTCTCTCTGGAAAATCTACCAAAGACCCGCTTCCATCAAAATGCCCATGATCCGTTCCCCTCAAGACTGATTCTTCCTCGTGTTGACCCCAGTCCTCCGCGAGGGCCGTCGGCAGGACGGTCTCGAGAGAGCCACCCCCCCCGGGAGGGGGGGGAGGGGAGATCGATTCGGGGAGCATGCAGTCGCGTAGAAGGAGATACTTGCTGTTACACCTGCCGTCACATTCCCATCCCGCCTCCTGCCTCGTGGGTGACGGGTGAAGGGGGGAGGGGGTCGAGTGGGGCCGCGAAGGACGGCGTCGAGTGAGAAAAGAAAAAGCAAGACGAGGACAGAGGGTGGACCAAGGGGAGCGAGGAAGGAGGGGCACGCATCCCCGAAAACTTTGCGCGTCGCGCCCAGTGGTACGCGACGCGCGCTTGTCTTCGCGCCCTCGCGAGGGAACCTTGGAAAAGGGCAAACCTCCGGCCCGGGCCACGGCGCGCGAACGCCGTTTTACCAGGCTCCTGGAGGGTGCCGTCCTGCATATCCCGACGTAGCCCAACTCTGCGAGGGCACGGTGGGATCACCTGATCGTGGAGGCGCAGGCCTCGGGTTCGGGGGACTCGGGTTGGCCTGACAGGGCCATCGTGAACGCGAGAAGACCCAGTCTGAAGTCCGCCCACGAACACTGCGCCAGCATCCAGGACGCGCTCGTCAGCAGGCGTCGGCAAACCCGAGCTCAGGCGCACTCGAGCCTTAGGCTCCCCCCGACCCTCGCAACACCCTGCCGTCACGTGCTGCACTTGCACGCGGGCTTCACCTCTCGACGTCGGCGCTGCCCGCAAGAGGCCAGAGGCACGGACCACGGGGGCACCTTGGGAGCGTTCCGGGGCCCCCGGCCTGGTCGAGACCGGCGCCTTCCCCGCAACGCCGACCACAGCATGTCAATGGGCAGGGGATCGGTCGAAGCTTCGGCCGGCCCCCATTCCTCAGTGGGTCGGCGGTGGGCCCGGGGGGAAGTTATTTATTTATTTATTTATATATATATATATATATGTAGGTACGTATGCATGTATGTATTTATGTATGTATGTATGTATGTATGTATGTATGTATGTATGTGTGTGTATGTATGTATGTATATATGTATGTATGTATGTAGGTGTGTGTATGTATGTATGTATGTATGTATGTATGTATGTATGTATGTATGTATATATATATATATATATAGTATGTATGTGTATATATAGTATGTCTTAATGCATATATCATAGACATACGTATATAATGTTTGTTTTACAATCGGTCTGCTGCCGAAGAGGAGCACCGTTGCCTGGTTCCGGACGAGGAGCTTGATGGCAGGACAAAGCGCGCACGCTTGGAGGAGGCAGCACTGCTGCGGCGGAGCGAGGAGCAGAGGAAGCAGGACAAGACGAGGCGGCGGGCCCGGTTGGAAAATGAGAAGGGGCGGACCTTCTCAGAAGGCTCGGACGTCCCCTGGCCTTGTGAGAAACTGTCAAGGCCTTCCCCGAAGACACAGAGAATCCCACCAGCCCTTTGGGCGTGAATGGTTTAGAGAGCCCGCTCTGTCCTTAACCCCCCTTCTTCCCCTTCGGGGAGGGGTTTACCCCTCCCCCTACCCCCTCCCCCTGGGCCTGGAGAGGGCGCCCCGCGGGTGGTTGGAGGGGTCTTTTTCGATTCCTGGGAGGGCCAAAAAACGACGACCCTCACGAGGATTCTGGCCCTGGGGGGGGAGGGAGTTTAGCGCCTCAGCTCGTCTTTGCAGCCAAAAACATTGATTTTACTATAGTTTTGGCCCCATTTTGGCCTTCTGAGGGGGCCGCGCTCATCGTCCCTCATAGCAACATCGTTGATTTTACTAAGGTTTTGGGCTCATTTTGTCCTTCCCAGGGGGCAGCGCTCATCTGCGCTTCTGAGGGGGTCGCAAGAGGCCCCAAGAGGCCCCCAGGAGGCTCCCAAGAGGCCTCCAAGAGGCCCCCAAGAGGCCCCCAAGAGGCCCCAAGAGGTCCCCAAGAGGCCTCCAAGAGGCGCCCAAGAGGCCCCCAGAGGCTCCAAGAAGCCCCCAAGAGGCCCCCAAGAGGCCCCCAAGAGGCCCCCAAAAGGCCCCAAGAAGCTCCAAGAGGCC